TGGCCAGACGTGGAGAGTCTCCCGAGCTCATGCCCAGGGCCACAGAAACTCCTCGAGTCCTCGGCTCAGCCGGGTGACGGTACACAGCGTGGCTCGTGTGGGCCGGTCTGCTCGATTTGTTTTGTCTGTTGTTGTTTTTGGCCCAGGGTCTCACTACACAGCCCCAGCTGGCCTAGAGTTTACAGAGCCGCCAACAGGTGCCAGCCTCTGCATCCTGGGCGCCCGGGTTGCACTCCCGAGACAGCATGTTCTAATGCTCTTAGGCTCAGCCACGATGTCAGCGTTCCTTAAACCTTATCTGTTTACTTATTTTATGTGTTGTGAGTGTTTGCCTGCATGTATGTGGACACTCCTGGTGTGTGGCCTGACGTCCATGGAGGTCAGAAGCCGGAGTCCCTGGAACTGGAGTTACAGATGGTTGTGAGGCCCCACCATGTGGGGCCTGAGAATTGAACTTGGGTCCTTTGCAAGAACAGACAGTGCTCTTACCTGCGAGCCATCTCTCCAGCCCCCCAAAAAAAACACTACTTTGTCACAGCACATTACTTTTTTTTTAATTGAGACAAGGTGTTACCTAGCCCAGGTTAGGCTCAAACTTGCTGTGTCTGGGGGATGACTTTGAACTTCTGTCCATCCTGTGTCTGCCTCTCCAGTGCTAGGATCACAGGTGTGCGACACTGCATGGTTTATGTGAAGGATCAAACCTGGGCCTTCGTACTTGCTCTGCCAGCTGAGTCATACCACCACACTGTTAATTTAAGGCTGGCTACAGCTTGCACCTGCTTTGTTATTTTCGAGTCTGTACCTTTATCACATTCACCTGCAGCTCACCATGTAGGTTTTAGTATCAGGTTAAAACGAAATAAGAAGCCTTGCAGTAGTTTTTAAGATTTGCCATTTTTCAGCTTTGTTTTTAAAGGTTGGCTTACGTTTTGAATAATCTGGACTGGCTGTAAACACCTAGTATCTATAAAGCTTTTCCTAGCTCTCTCGAATATCGGTATTGAACACAGCATATGATCATTGGAATTAGGCCTGGGGAGCTGGAGAGGCAGCTCAGTGGTTGAAGGTGCTGGCTGCTCTTCCGGAAGACCCTCTGTAATGGTCCCAGGAGGCTCTGACACCCTCTTCTGGCCTCTGCGGGCACTGCATGCAAACGGTGCACAGACAGACATACACACAAAAGGTAAAAATAAACCTTAAAAAGCTGATTAGTATAGACACATATGATTAGTATAGACACAAGTATTTTTTGAGACTGGATCTTGCTGAGTCGTTCAGAGTGGCCTTAAACTCATTACGTTCCTACCTTAGCCTCCCAGTGTTGGATGACTGGCATGTGCCACCATGCCCAGTTGGATAGGTTTTATTCAAATTTTGCCAATTGTTCTATTAAATGTCCTTCTTTCGGTTTGGGAGCCAATCCCGAGTCTCTCATCACACAGTATTGTGTGATAATGGCTCCCCAACCTTTGTGTGCCTCAGCTTTCACACTGGTATTTTGTAGAATGGCTCTCAGTTTGGGTTAGTCTCATTTTTTCCCCGTGATCAGATTGAGGCAAAGCATTTCAGGCGAGCATATCTCAGAAATGACACACCTTCCTCAGGCCCTCGAGTCACGGGACTCCTTATGATGTCAGTTTTGCTCAGCTGGCGTAGGGTGTGTCTGCCTGGTTTCTCCACTTCAGAGTTTCTGTTTTCTGCACATTTGATGGGAAACTAAGAGCGAGCAGCCCCTTTCCCTTGGTCCTTTCAGGCTGCAATATTAAAACCACCACACATGGAGTGGCAAACGTTTCTAACAGCTCTGGAGCCTGGAGAGCCTAAGAACGAGCTGGCAGACCCAGCACCTGGTGTGGCCCATTCCTCACAGATGGGGGCTGCTGTGGGTCCCCACAGGGGGCAAGGTGCCATTTCTTTGGGTCCCTCCATAAGGGCACTGATTCATCTTGAGGGAGGAACAAGATGGCTGAATCATAACTACAAAGGCTTCGTCTTCTTACTGCCCTCACTGGAGGCTAGGTTTTGTAAAAGGGGCCTGATAGAGCACTATTTTCATTGTTGGCCCCCTGCCCGTACTTTTCATTTTAAAAGTTTTCAATTTTATGTGTATGGGTGTTTTCCTTGCATGTATGTCTGTGTGGTACATCTATGTCTGGTAGCCAAGGCAGCCAGAAGAAGGCAGCAGGTCCCCAAGGACTGGAGTTGTAGATGGTTGTGAGTCACTATGTGGGTGCAGGGAATTGAACCAGGGTCCTCAGGAAGAGCAACATGCGCTCTTAACTGCAGAGCTATCTCTCTAGCCCCCTGGCCCCTGCATTTACCAATCACAGACGGTACCTGCCTGCTGGCAATTTCTTTCCTTTTAAATTTTGTGTGTGTGCGTGATTGTGTGTATGTGAGTGCGTGTGTGTGTATGATTAAGTGTGTATATGGCGTGTTGATGTATGTGAGTACAGGCTTGTGTGTGCCCGTGCTCTTATGGCAGTCAAAGGACAACTTTCAAGAATCCTCTCTCTTCTCCCATCTCAGGTTCCAGAGATGGGGCTCAGGTGGTCAGGCTTGCAAAGTGAGCCCCTTTCCCCACTGGGCCCTCTTGCCATCCTCTGCTGGTAACGTCTTTGCTTTCTTTCTTTTTTTCCTTCCTTCCTTTCTTTTTGTTCATTTGTTTTGCTTTGCTTTATTTACTTATTTACTTCTTTATTTGAGACACTTTCTCTGTGTAGTCTTGGCTGTCCTGGAACTCACTCAGCAGGCCAGGTTGAGCACAGAGGTCTGCCTACCTCTGCTGCCTGAGTGCTGGGATTTGATAAAGGCGTGTGCTACCACCACACGCAGCCTTGGTAATGTCTTAATAACTCAGTTTCTGTCCCTTACATATTCTCCCAGACACTGAAAACACAAATGCAAAATGTTTTATTTTCCCCTCCCCTTTTGGAGGATCCCAATTGTTCTCATTGTGTCGGACTCGCTGGAAAGTGCGTCCAGGTGTCCCGTTTCCCAGCTCACCTGGGATCAGTCTTTACCCAGGAATGACTGGCAGCTGAAGTGATTTGCTGACTGGCTACGAGTCAGCAAGTGAGTGAGGGAGGCAATCTACACAGAAATAAGAGTGTGGAAGGGCATGGAGGCATGAAAACCCCATGAAGACTCCCCGCCTCGTGTTCTGTGTGCTGACGTGTGGTACCATGAGCAGAATACTCGGCTTTAAAGAAGACGTGCAGGAGCTCAGATGTGAGCTGACTGCCTAGGCTTCCTGTGCTGGGATCTTGTCCTCCCACGAGCTGCTAAGAGCTGGAGCCTGTTGGGAAGAAATGAGGTTGCCAGGTGCTCTTGTGTGATGACTGTGGCAGAGAGGTGCAGTGGCGCCAGAATCACAGAATTTCAGCCCAAGAAAGAAGCCCAGGCTACCATTTCGAGAGGGACGGACGGATGGACAAAACCTCTCTGGGAGAAGAGAAGCAGAAATGCAGTGATTCCAGCACTAAAGGGAGGATGGAGAAAAGGAAGCCAGAATCAGTGGTCTGAGGTGAAGCGTGTTCAGGAACCAGGGAGTTTCCTCGGGAAGGTGGCAACAGCAGGGCGTGGAAACCAGCACCCTGGATTTGGCATTTGAGGTTTTCCTGGTGACCTTCTTTTAGAACATTGTGGAATAAATGTAAGATGAGGAAGTCAAAGCAGGGCAGGCCGCTCTTTGAAAACATCAGACAAGGAAGGGAAGGAGAGCGGCTGCAAACAGCCATGTTTGTAAGCAAATCTACAAAAGAGCTGCACAGAGTTGTTGGAACACAATCAGGAGCTACCACGGGGCAGAGGCGCTCCCGGGACTTCTCAGCTGAACTGGGGGAGTGTTTCTGGGAGCTGGCAGTCATTTCAGTTTCTGTCTAAAAGATGCCAGATGGTCTTGTGGTCTGGCCGGTGCTCAGCCCGGCAGGGACAACAACACAGCCAGCATTGTAGGGAGGATAATTTCAAACTCAACATCTGGGCCACAGCTGCTTGTAAGAAAGGTTTCTGAGGGTCTGAGCTGGGGTTTTAGCCTTATTCTGCCTTCAGTTTTTGGAACACCGAGGATACAGAAGAAGGCAAACATCCCGTAACTTTTCCAGCCTGTTACTGTGCTGCCAAAAGCCCTCTCCACCGTTTCCATCTGGCGCACACTGTCCATCTTCTCTACTCCTTTACAGTGGAGCCTGTTTCAATTTCCCACCTAGTTCCAATTTTGCGCCCGACCAAAGGGTACTTTCTGTTTCTGCCCATTTGGGGAAGTTGCTTTTTCTTGGTATTTAGGGAGTCAGGAAAAGAAAAGCCATTGGGTTTTCACATTAGACTTCAGGTAGGGCTTGTGGCTTTTGACCAACAATAACGGACGACCTTGTAGTCGGTTTTGGACCTACTTCTGGGAAAGCGGACCCGGCTGAGGTGATGGGAGATTCTGGTACTGTGAAGAGGCGATGGCACGTGGGACCAGAGGCTGGGGAAACAGTGCTGGACGTTTGGACGGGCTGGACGTTTCTAGGCAGGACGGAGTTGAGCGCTTGTGAGCCCAACACGGATGAGGGCCTTTTAAGGGTTAAGAGCACCCGAAAAAAATAGAAGTAGTAGGAGGAAGTGGGGCGCTGGGTCGCAATGTGAGAAGGAAGCAGCTCATAGGAGCTTCCTCTTTCTCCTCCTTCCCCGAAGCCCCCACCCACCCCTCCTGCTCAGACAAAACGCTTTTCCGCCCTCTCCCCTCCCCGGAACCTCACCTTATTCTGGGGTGGGATTGGCTGGTCCACAGGCCGAGGCTTGTCGTTCCCTGGATCAAGTGGGGTCCCAGCGCAGGGCAACTTCTCAGATGCTTTTGAGTCCTGGAACTCCAGGGACGGATGTGCCGGCTTGACGCGGTCGGGCCACCAGGGGGCGGGAGAGGCCGGCTGGGCGGCTAGCTCCGCCCAGACCCCGCCCCCGCAAGGCCCCGCCCCGAAGGCCCCGCCTCCAGGAGTTGTAGAGACCGGGCAGATGCTGGCACTTGCTGCGCGGGTCCGGCCGCCTAACGGTGGTCGGTGCCTCACTTCAGCTGCAGCGAGTCACCGCTGGAGAGGGGCTCGCCGCCCGGCGGGGACTGCAGGTGTGTGGCTGGGCAGCCGGGGGTGCCGAGGGCACGCGTGAGAGCTCCGGGCACCGCCAGCGCAGGCTGGGCAGTCGGCCATCCTCCAGCTCCAGTCTTAGGGGCCACCTGGCGCACCCGGGGGCACAAACCCATGGGACAAACCCAGAGGCAGGAGGGGCGTCCCGGGACTGGTGCGTCGCGTTGTAAGTAGCTGTGAGGCCAAGCGCGCAGCGTCCTGCTGGGTCGCAGGCCACCCTGTCCTCTGAGTGAAGGGACCTGCGGGCTTCTGGCTCTGAACCCGCTGGGGAACTTGGACAACAGGGGTTCTTTGGCGTCAGGACCGAGCTGTGGTCCTCCGCCGAGGCTCAGGCTGCCCGGTGTTGGTTGGTGGGGCGTGGACGGCACCGCTGCGGTTCTAGGGAACTGCGCGCCCTGAGCTGTGAGAGCGTCAGTGTTTATGTGAGTGTGTGAATGTAGGTGCTTGCACACGTGTGTGTGTGTGTGTGTGTGTGTGTGTGTGTGTGTCCGTGTGTGTCCGTGTCCGCGCGCTGGCGTGACGGCGCGTCCGACAGTGGAGGTGGTAAATATGCAGCAAGCTCAGGACAGCAGGAGGAAGAAGGCTGTTCAGAGGGAAAAGGAAGGCGAGATGAAAGCAGCAGGATGTGGTATCAAGTGAGTGAAGCCTCCTGCCGAGAGGAGGGGTGGCTTTTGGCAACAGGAGGGCTAAAAGCAGGCCAACTCACCTGAAGGCCTTTGCGGAATTCCGCTTTGGGCTTTGCTGGCTTTGCCTGACGTGGTTGCTCTGTAAGGTCGGGTTCCCAGAGCAGAGCTATGCTCCTGTCGTTCTGTTAATTCAGAGTCTCCGGGACCCAGTGGGACAGTACAGCCTTCCAGGGAGAATCAGATTTTAAATAAGGTCCTTAGGCCTTGGTGGAGCTTGTTTGGTAAGGGGGAGGGTGCTTGGAAGCCATGTGTAACATGGGATAGAGACCTGAGTTCCAGCCGTGTCCTGCCACATGACAGCCCTGTCTGCCTCGGTCTCCTTATTTGTAAAACTGGTTGAACACTTCCGATCAACAGGGTGCGGGAAAGGAAAGGACAGCCTCCTCTTCTGCTTGTTACAGGGTCTTCCAAGCCCATAGGACACATTTCTTAGAGGCTTATCCCGACCAGGGGGCCAAACTGTGAGCTCCCTGTCCCTGTCCCTGGTATTTGAGCTCTCGCCTTTGGCATGCATGAACAGCAATGCATGTTACACGTTAAGGATATGTCTTCCATTTGGGGCTGTGTGCCTGTTCACGTTTTATTTCTATGTATCGGTTGTTGTTTAAAACATTTACTGTGTCATTTGTGGGTGTGAGGGAACATGGGCATGTTCGCCATGGCGCTCGTGGAGGTCAGAGGGCAACCCGAGGGAGGTGGTTCTTTCCTCCTCTCCTGAGCCCTCAGGAACAAACCCTGGTTGTCAGGCTTGGAGGGCCACCTCACTTGGGCCGTGCGTTGTCTGAGGCAGACTCAGGCTGTGTCCCAGGCTGGCCTCCGACTCAGTGCGTAGCTGAGACTGGCCTTGAACTCCAAGTGCTGAAATCACAGGCAGAGCCGCTATGCCCCACATTACATTCATGTTTTAGCAATGTTAAAATTAACATACCACAATTACAATAAGCCCTGGTGTGTCTTCCCTGTCAGCACACACATTGATGGTGAATCTTTACACTTGATGGCCTCTTACAGCCTACTAAACACAGCATATTTTACAGATTAAGGGGAATGTTTTAGAGACACATGGATATGTACAGAATTATGACATTCTTCTATTCTGCATACATTTTAAAAACTGAACCTCATAAGCACTGAAATTTTGTGGTTTCTAGTTTTTCGTTTTGTTTTGTTTTTGCTTTGTTTTTTTTTTTTTTTTTTTTGTTTTTGAAACAGTCTAAAAACTGTAGACCAGGCTGGTGTTGAACTCACAGAGCTCTGCCTTCCTCTTACTACCAAATACTTTTTTTGTAAATTTCTTTCCAGCTGAGATTAAAGGCACACCACACCGGGCCCCATGGCAACTCATCACCTCCACTTTACAGATAAGGAAATGGGGTGCCAAAGCCACTCAACCAGAGTGCCAGGCCGGTGATGACTCCGGCATCTGCTCTTGACCGGAGAGGAGCACGTTGCCGCGGTGACCTGTGGTTGTCAAGCACATGCCTTGCTCTGCTACGGCAAGAACTGTAGCTTTTTAACTTTTTACTTTTTGCTTATAGGCTGGCAGCTAGCTTTGGGGTAATTGGGATATGTTAAATGACATCATCTGGGTGATGAAGGCATAGGTGTCACAGGGGATGATAAATGAGACAGTAGATAATTTCATAGCTCAGAGCATGAGTCTCCTGACTCTCTCATTTGGGTCCCAGATTCTGGTCAGTAGAACTTGTCTGTTGCATCCTGTTGCTATGGTGACAGAAGATCCCAAATCAGCTGAAAGCCTGGAGAGGGGTATCAAGGCCTTTTGCCCCCCCCCCCCAGCCTAGGTTCACCTTCCTGTCTCCTCCTGGGAAGCTCAGGCAGACCTTGGCTTGGCAGATGCTGTTTCGTCTCTTCGGACTGCCCCTCTCTTCCTCCCCCTGCCTGGTGAACTGTTGGAGCTCCATCTTCCAGAGTCTTCCCGGACCCGTGCCTTCACCCTGCGACAAGTTCTGGTTCTCTGTGGTCTCCCTGCATGGCACTGACTGCCCCGGCCCACAGAGCTATGGCCTACGCACAGTCAGCAATGGCTTCAAGCCTTCACTATGAGTCTTGGGATCTCCCTGATGTGCTTCCCCGGCAGAAGCTGCTCAGATGCAGGGCAGTGCCGGGGCCAGCAGGGTGGGTCCCTAGAGACTGTTGTGCTTTTCGTTTTCGTGTCCTCTGGAGTCTTGTTATTGTGTTGACGTAGGCAAATGGGCCTGTGTGGTTTTCTCATGGGGGTCAGGGCTGGGACGTGAGGAGTGAAGGTGAATTCCTAGGTAGGGGTCCTGCGTCTGCCTCACTCTGCCGCTCCTAGCCACACAGCCTTGATTACAATCATGCCCCTCTGAGTGTCATCTGCCCTGTCTACAAGGCAGCAGCATGGATGGCATTTGATCCCCCCCAACCTTCCACAGTCAGCACTTTCTTGTGGAACATGTTCAGCGTGTCGTCAAGGACCGGGCTCAGTAGGCACGGGAAGGCAAACCATTGTCCCTGCCCTCAAGGAGTTGTGTCTACTGGTTCGGGACAGCCAACACATGTTATAATTCTAAGTATGAGAATTACGTGATGCTATGGGGGTTACAGAAAGAGAATTTGGGGTTTCAGGTTACATCATATCTTATGTGAGACCTGAGAGGTAGGAAACAGAAGAAAATAATATTCGTGATAATAACAAGATGAGCGTCTGACAGATGCTGGCTCTGTGGGTATCTTCCCCCACGTTGCCCCGTCACTCCGGGTGTGTGTGAGATTGGGAGGGGTTTCCCTCTCCTGAAATTAGGTGTTACAACCGATAGCAGTGACCTGACTCCGTGCTCACGTGGCTCAGGGGCTCCCTTGATACTCACTCCCCTCCCCGTATTCCAGGGTGCAGTTTGTGAAGAGCAAAGGCCATTGCCGTGTGGGAAGGCTCCCGCCTCTTTCATTCTTGGGTCGTTGCTGGAGAGCACACCCCACGGCCCTTTGCAGCCGTGTTTTTCATGAGTGCCTCAGGGAGTCTCAACTCATGGGCAATCCTACCCACTGTAGCCATGCCTTCTTTCGGTCCCTCTTGAGCATCCTGTGCCATGGTTCTCTGTGTCATGCAGTAAGGCCCTTGGGTAGCTCCCACATTCTTCTTCTCCACCCAAAGCTGTCTTTCAGGAACCTCGGCATCCACTCAGACAGATGGTTCCTGTGCGGCTCCCTGGAGTGGGCTCCTGTCAGGCAAATCTTCACACAACCACTTCCACCCAACCTCGTCGGCACCACCAACCTCCTCTTGGGTTTTCTCTTGTTCGTTAGATTACGTCATGTACAACTACAGCTCTTCCAGGGGACTTTCAAACACTCTGTGGGTTAGTGGTCCTCAACCTTTCTAATGCTATGACCCTTTAATACATTTCCACGTGTTGTGGTAACCCCCAACCACAAAATTATTTTCGCTGCTGCTTCCCAACTGATTTTGCCACAGTTATAAGTTGTAAACATCTGCTCTTTCCCATGGTCTTCGGTGACTCCTGTGAAAGGATTGTTCGACCCGCCCCTGGAAGGGTCTCGGCCCGCAGGCGGAGAAACGGTGTTGCTCTCCCTAGTGGCTCCCTTTGAAACACTGATGAAAACGCTGGTTAGTAAGCACACGTGTATGTGTGAGCACACTGGGGTTAAAGGTGTGTGCCAGCATGTCCAGCTGCCATGTTCTGGATGACCTGGGAAGATTTGGTTCCACTCTGTTTCCAGGATGGCAGATGAGCACTGCCTTTGCTGATAACATGCTGATAAGAAGCACCTCCACTGCGCTCCCTAGCCAGCGTAACCGGGTTATGCCAAGGACTAGGGGGCAGAAGACGTGATCACAATTAGTTCTTTGCCACTTATGTCTACAAACCCTTGTGTTCCTGGAGATTGGCTTGTATTTAAGACTTCCTTTCTTTGATGTGGTTGTAATACATCAGCATCAAAGTGACGCTTTCTTCCCTTGCTTGTTTACAGGGAACATTAAAAGTACGACTGAATAGTAAGGCTGTCAAATACATGTTTAAACATGCGCTAGAAAACTCTTGTATTCTTTCACCTTGACATGGTTTTCTATGACATGCTCTATTATTAACTTATGCACATTGAGCCTTCCTTGCATTCCTGGATTGAATTCAGTTACTGTTTTAAATACGTGACTAGGTTTGTGCAGTGTGAGCTTTGCTGGGAGCGTTGTGTCTGTTCTTATGTGTCTTCGCATCATGGCCAGACACCTGAGATAGCCAACTTGTAGAGAAAAAGCTGATGTGGGCTTCAAGCATTGGAGCACTCAGTCT